CCTACCGAGCAACGTCTAAATTGGTAGCAAATTGCCAAAAACGACTCTCCTTGATAGGAAAACTTAACATATTGTCTCTGGTCTGGATTCCTGGCCATACTGGCGTGGAAGGCAATGAGGCTGCTGACTTCATTGCAGAGGAGGGTGCTGCAACCTGTCATTGGCATCGCAAACAAACATCGAACACCTAGATGGCAAGAAGATTCATGGACTTTGGCAGAATCTTCCAGGATAACTCACTCCAAGGCGTTTATTCACTCTTCGAAGCTTCATACCAAACAGTTGTTGGACTACAGTAGGGATGAACTACGATGTCTAACAGGCCTTCTTACGGGTCACTGCCATTTGAATCGTCATATTCAGAGACTCGAACTGTCGGAAGACAGTGTATGTCGCTTCTGCTTGGAAAATGATGAAACAGTGGAGCACCTACTTCGTGCCTGCCCTGCTGGTGACCGAATCAGGTTTTTAGAGCTCGGCAGAGCCGTACTTTTACTAATCGGGTTCGTTAAAAAGCTGGGTTTATTTGGTCGAGGGTGTGAGCCAGAATAAACCATTGCTGGTTGCGGTGGAGGGTCGAATTGACCCACTCACTTTGAACCTGACCTAACCCATCCTACATGGATGAATTTCTTTCAAAATGTCACATATCATTCAGATGATGTTTTCAAATTTTGAGGATGATGGTCACTATAAAAGGTGACAAAATGGGTAATATTATTTATAGTTTTTCATTATTTATCGGGTTTAGAAAAAATAGCGTATGCAACTCTCATGTAATGGTTATTAATACACTCGCATATACCATACAAAACTCGCCTTCGGCTTGTTTTGTATCCCGGTTAATGCTCGTGTCTTAATAACCATCATTACATGATCGTTGCATAATATACTATTATTTATATTTATGAATCAACTTCTGCATCATCTCGTTTATTTTGTTCTCAACTATTATGGTCTGTCTATAGACGTGTATAGATCTCAGTGATGAATTTCACATGATTTTATTCCTAAAAGAAACTGAACCAAAATTATCCTGAAGGTACAAAGTGACAATTTCTTACCACAAAAATATTTTTCAAGTTTTCATTGCGGTACCGTGTATCTTATGGGTTTCTCCTCCTTGATATAGAGAGAGCAGCTAATTCTGCATTAATCAACCATATTTCTTCAAATTTATGCAAGTCCATCACACCGCAATATCATGTAAATCGCTCTTCCTCCTTTGCATAACAATTACATTAAAATTCAACAAAATACCCGATTTAATAAAGGATCCAAAGTTTATCCTATTGTGTTCAAAATATAGTGACTCGCAACATTAGTTTACATTTATATTCCGTATAATATTTTCATTCTTCGTTACACCGGCTTCCCTAGAGCCCAGCAGCTATGGAGCCAAAACAAGCGGAAAAATATTCGGCATATATGTTGGCAAACAGCCGCAGTTTGCGGCAAATTGAATGATGTCAGAGTCGGACCACAGCAGTTATGTTGCCCCAATCTGCTAATGGAATATAAACGGTACTTTAGTTTTGAAATACCTCGAGGTATTTTAATGGATTCATTATTTTCTGAATGATTTACAATAAGAAATGTACAGGTACTATAGAATAAATGTCATTGCTGATGAAGGAAAAGAAGTTTTGAAACTTTTTTCGGTATTTTCACTTTTTGCAGTCTGATTCAAATCAAACTTGTATTGAAGAACTTCATGTAAAAATATCTCACATTATACTGAATAGTTACACTTTCACCCCCAACGAATTACTGCATAATGGGGAATGTTCCTCAATTTGGGTTATTACAGCATATGCAAGTTTGAACAAAATAAAGTTGAGTTTAATTCATGAGTTTTTCAAATTCACTTTGAAAAGTATTCAAATTGATGTTTCAAATGTTGGGTTTGAATTTTTAAAGGGATTTGTTTCTAAGTCACATGTTGGCAACAGCGCCTATATCAAGTTGAAATAATTCATACGTACCTAAACATTCTACTTTAAAAAAGGAAAATTATCTGTATAAATTAGGGCAAAATATAAATTATAGTTCAATACTACCTTCACAAGCCGCATAAACAACAGTTGTTTTGTTATTTATTGATATAGAGGAAGATATGTTAGGTGCACAAAATATCATATGTCACAGAATGTCTCGGAACTTGGAACATAAGTAAACAGAACAGCACGCCTCTGAAATATGTCATCTTTGTTTGTCTCATGCAGGTAACAGATTCATAGCTATAGCCGATGTTGCCAAATGGTGAAACAGAAACGAATCCCTTTAAATATTGAATGCATTATTCCATTCCTCTTTTTTAAGTATTCAAACAATTTTTAAAAGAAAAAGGTTGAAATGATACGTTTAAAATGCGTTGTTTCAGAGCTCTTTTATGAAAACTACTTGATTTTCGTCAGGAGGAACATTCCCCATCATATTGTTTCTGGAGGGTAGCAGACAAGAACGACAAAAGCATACAAAATGCTTAGTTCTCGTTATCCAACAGAAACTTTATAATAAACGTCAATATGTATGAAAAAGGTGGTTGGTAGGGTAACAGAATCAATTTTTTCTTTTTCTCGAAACAAAGAACTGAAACACCACAAGAAATACAATCCAATATTGTGTACAAATTGACCTGTGGAAGCTGTGAAACCGGACGGTATCTTAAAACACGAGTTTCAGAACACATGAGAGACTGAGAAACTGAATATGAAAAATCCCACAGCTCTCGTTGAATATGAAAAAGAATATGGACACATTTCTGATTTTGATCATCCAACTATTTTAGATGTTCAACCATACTTATCAAAAAGGCTTTTGAGCGGAATGATACATATCCTCAAATGCGACAGTGTTAACACTAGAAGAGATGTCGATGGCCCTAATACCGTAAAATACGTGAATAATTTACACTTTTCTTTCTGCCATCGATTAAAAAACAGAGACCATCTTATCTGAATCAGAGATAAAGCCATTCGTTTATTTCATGTCGTTTTGTGTTGGTGTTGTCTCAAAAATTTGTTGTTTGTAATGTGTTTTTTATTGTTATTTTTCAAATACGTATCTAATATGTCTGATGATTTTTAAAATAGTATTATCATCAACACAATTTTGTAAGATAACTTCGCCTGAGAACGAATACTAAAAATTTTATGACATCCTAACGTTTAAGACAACAAAATCTGGCTCAGATTTCTGAAACGAAGAACCAGCTATATCTTACAGTTTCATTCTCAAAATTCATTTACTTTTCAAGTTTTTTCGACAGATGTCGAAGGAGATTTGGGAAATGAAATATGTCAAAGTTGTTGTTAGACATTTGAAACGTTCCATATTTCTTGATTTGTATATTTTTCCAATTCCAAATGTTTCTTTTCATACAAAAATAAAATTAAAAATGGATAATAAGGACTTCACGAATTTTTTTTCATGGTATAATGAATTTCAATAAATCATGATATACACTTCATCAACTACAGTCCTGAATAATTTTATTTGATTCATATATTGTTATTAGGCACATATTTTACATTTATTTCTATCTTCACATAATATGTATTCATTTGTTATTTTATTTTTTTCACATATATTCATATAAAAAGTATATGAATATATGTGAGATTGTATTCATAAAGATATATTCTTTTTTGGCACAAGTTTCACTTCTCAAGTTTATTTAGAAGTTTGTTCATCATTTTCGATGTATATATTATGAAATGTCATGAATAAACTCATATTATTATTATTATAGCAATTATCAACGAAACAACAAACAAAAATTCAAAATATTAAAATAGTAGGGGTACCTATCTTTCTGAAATTTTTATTAAAACAACGATGAAAATAAAATAAATACAACAATAAAAATTAATTGGCGCTCCGGGGCGACTTCATTGATTCCAGTGGCGCATTTGCTTTTTCAGCTGCAGGAAAACCCGGAAAAACCTGCAGCACCACATCATCTGAAGATCTTGCTCTAACAATGTCCTCTCTCTCATAAAACAAAATGAATTTTCATGAAAATGTCATTTGTGTTCCTCACTGATATATTCTTGGCTTCTTCTTTTTGTGATCTGTATGACTTTCGAATAGAACTCATTTTCAAGTGAGGATATAGAAATGTTGCAAATGATTTATTTGTAATCAGTAGTAGTAATTGTATGTAAGAAATCTGAATTTATGTGCTGAATAATCCTCAAGAAATTCATTTCTATATGAAATATTGGAATTTTCCAATTTTTGACATATTATTCATGATGATGATAAAACAATTTTCACTAAAAACCATTCATTCTGGACGCGTTAAGCTGACACCCTGTATGCATCGCTAGTAATTGCGATATATCTTCTGTTATTATCATTCAAAAAATATAATATTCTTCAACCTGAACGTTTGTGCTCGGGATTCGACGAAGTCGACGAAGGCCATTTTTGTCTGGTCCTAATTTTCGGACGGGGATTAGTGAAACGTGACAGGCATTGTCATGGAGCAGGATCAGTACCAGCTACTGCTGAGGCAATTTTCAAAACATTTCATAAACTTTCCTACAGTCGGTCAGTCTCCACCAGGATCCTTGAATCCTAGTCCTATATTACTGTAGTTTGATCACTGCGGGACTCCACTTCGAGACTCAACTTCAAAGCTCACCAACATGGAACAGTGCGTTCATTAACACTATCATTGCCGACCGCCTGGTTGATTTTTCGGACTGTTTTGGTAGCACTTTGGTTCAATTTGAATTCGTGAAGAAGAATTGGCCCAAAATCGCTCAACGATATCATATAAAGTGTGAAGAAGCATAATGGACAATGAACAACATCAATGTACACGTACAAAATTCTCTAGCGATCACGACAATAATTCTCACAGAAATCTCATTAAAATCAGCATATACGTCAAACTGTACAGTTGAATTTCTCATCGGAGGATATCCTACGATCAATAAACTTCAGTCTTGTTGATTTCAACATGATTCTCAGATGGTTTTTTGTTTCAGTTTCGATGTTCGAGGCAGAGCGTTCAACAAGGCTCGCCATTGGTCAGACCCGAAAATTTTTGGACCAAGAGCATACTTCGTGACAGTTTCCAAACCAGCCGCTCTCACGTTGGATGGAGTCCAGCTAGACGATGAGGGAGTGTATAGATGTAGAGTGGACTTCCGGACGTCCCGTACTAGAAATTTCGCCATTAACCTCACTGTTATAGGTAAGCAGTAATGATGATAACAGTAAGTTGAAAGTTATAGCATAATTAAGTACAAAGTTACTTGTTGCAGTTCATGTTTCACATAAGAATCATAAATGTTTTGAAGTTCAGTTTTGATGACAGCAACATCTTCATTCAGCAATTCTGGTTTAAACGATCCATAAAATCCTCTCCGGATTTTCTTTTGTAACCTCCAGTACTGAAATTGTACATAACTCTGGTATATATTCCCTGTAATATATATTATACCGAGGCTTTTCATCTTAAACTATCCATTGAAACCTAAGATTTCTTCGAGAGTATCTGTCACATATTTGGTCCTGTTAGACCTTCTCGTATTGCCTTCTCTATGAGTCTGTGCTATACTTTCTCAAGGTTCTGTTAGGTTGAACCCATGATAACATACGCATCTCTTGTCTGGTGGCCAAAGATGGAGCAGGTGACCGCCATCATCAAACTAGGCAAGGTGCAGAGACTTGCATGTTTGGGAATGGCGGGAGAAATGAGAACTACCCCAACAGCTGTATTGGAGACACTCCTGAATATACCTCTTTTACACTTTGTGATAATGAGGGAGGCCAGGATGGGCCGATTCAGACTGGAAAACTCACTGAACTACAAAATATCGGACCTAACAGATCAATAAGACCAATAAGAAGCACACAGAGTACTGGACAAAAATACCTGGCAACGAACACAGTAGAACCTTCATTACGGAACCGTCCGAGAAGAGAACCAAAGAACTACTTCAATATAGTAGGGATCGGCTCAGAATAATTACAGGGTTACTAACCGGTCATTGTCCGCTTAGAAGACACCTGAATAAAATGGGGCTGTACACCGGAGACCTCAGCTGCAGATTATGCAACGAAGACAGGCAATATATGGACGTAATAATTCACGTCCAAAAGAATATGGTGACTATCTAATACGGAACCTGTACAAACTAGTACAGGGAACGAGACTGATGGAATGGGTGTCATAAGAAGATGAAAGAATAAACGCAATGAGCATAAGATGCTGCAGTGTTTTCTGAAGACTTGGACTAAATGGACAAGTCAGACAGCTCCCAAGGTACCAAAAAAAAAAGAAAGTTCTGTTATATTCAGCTTCTATATTGGTCGTATACTCCCTTTTCGGAAATTTTCTAATTTGTTTGTTATTGTTGAGAAATATTGATACACATATTCGTAACTTCGCAAGGCCTCATTTTTCTACTTGTATACTTGATAGACTGAGCAACCTCCTTCATCGATCGTGATCAAGCCAATGTTACCTGAAGAAAGATTAATCAAGATCTCCTACAAAAAGATATAGAAAACAGTATTCCGGAATATCTTTTCTCTCAATTCATTTTGAACGGTTTTTTACAGAACTCGAAGCAAATGCATCCAGAGAAAAAAATCCGCAACGTCTCCGCAACAAAATTCAAATGACAATATCAAGCATAAATTACGAAAGTATAACGAGGAAGTTTGGAATTGTGTCTCTGCAGAAAACCCTCCGAATGTATTATGTAAGAAAGTGAACTGCCTAGCCATCTGTTTAAAATGTACAAAATGATTAAATTATAATTGAAGTTGAGGCGTTCGTAATGAAATTCCACTTCAGGTTGCTAAATTCATTTCCCGGCAACTGTATAACTCGCAGTCGAGCTGAAATGCCGAATGACATAATCAGAGTTGAAATTATTATGGCAAAATGGATGAGACACCTAGCCAGGCGTCGGAAAATATGGCCCAATATTTACTTTTAATCAGTTTACTTTATGCTGTTTACGCTGTTGACTCCTAAATGATGTAGAGAGTCGAAACGTTTGGGAATTATTGGAATTAATCATCATACTGTGCATTCTCGCTATATATTGCAAAATCGTCAATATTCCAATAGACCTATTATTGTGAATATCCTCTCCTAGTTCACTTTGAGCTAGTGTAAAAAATAAACGTCAATAAAATACAAAGAGCAGCCTGGGCAATACTTTTTGTAGAAGCACAAGTACCTTTACACTTTAGTTTTATCCCTCAGTCATTTCAGTGTCAAGATCACTATTCGAGTTTTTGTTGAGCAGTTGAAGTTTAAACCGCACTAATAGACTGGCATAAACTCTGGTTTTGACCGACACCATTCATCGCGAACTCTCTTTGAAACGTATCGTAGTACTTGTCAACTTCCATCAAGGCTTGGTGTTTCTAGGATGGTGACGAGGTGTCACACCGACATGTACGCCACTGGACAACTTCTTACACTCCCCCAACGGTACGGGAGCATGTACCGGAGTACAGCCGTTGCTGTATTCCTCAATATTGAAGAAGCATTCGATAATGCACTACCTGAATCTGTAGGATCATCTCTGGCTAGGAAAGGTAAAGAATCGACCATAACTGGCTGGATCTATGTCATGCTTGTGAACAGAACTGCAACTACGACTCTTCAAAGCGAGGCCATTAGATTCTGGGATACCAGAAGCTGCTCTCAAGGTGTGGTACTATCTCCCCTTCTGTGGTCGCTCCTGTTGATGCCCTCGACAGAAAAAAAGAAGATCTGCAAGCCTATGCGCAGATGGCCTTGTCATCTCGGCAAGGTTCACGTCTGGAGGGGTAGCTTGTAATATCCTCTAACGCCACTTTTCCTCAATGGTGAGTTCATTCCGTTTGGAACGGAAGAGAAATATCTTGGCATTTTCCTTGATAAAGAACTCACCCGGAACGATCACTTGTAAAAACTTTCACAGGAAGCCAGACTGTCTCTATATGGACATGTCGAAGGATTTGTGGTGGAACTTGGAGTCCCAAACAAAACCATTGGATTTATGTGATGATTGTCAGACCAATGATCACTAATGGTGCAATTTCCTGGTGACCGAAGCCTTTACAGAAAACGGATAGTGTGCGAAGCGATTGAAAGAATCCAACCTCATACACAAGTCGATAAAAATATTCTCGGACAGTCAAGCGGCGTTGGAAGTTCTTGACTCCTACCGAGAAGCAACGTCTAAATTGGTAGCAAATTGCCAAAAATGACTCTTCTCAAAAGGAAGACTCAACAGATTGTCTCTGGTCTGGATTCCTAACCATACTGGCCTGGAAGGCAATGAGGCTGCTGACTCTCTTGCAAAGTAGGGTACTGCAAGCAGCTTCATCGAACCAGAACCTGTCATTGGAATCACTTCAGGCTACATACTTTGTGCTTGCCTCGCTGGAGAACTAATCAGATTTTTGAGTTCGCAGAGCCGTACTCTTACCATCTGACCTGAATTACCACTAACCATAAAACCAATCGGCTTCGTTAAGAATCTGGGTTTATTTCGTTGAGTGTGAATAGGTGTGAGCCACAATAAACCCTTGCGGGTTGCGGTGGAGGGTCGAATAGACCCACTCACTTTGGACCTTGTATTTGATGGAAAGATGAGTCGAAATATCGAGACGAGGATAAAACAAATGGTGCCTGGAAACGAGCCGGTATCTATAAAAAAATTAGATTTTTTTATGGGTAGCCGAATGTTATCAAGCAAACTACTGAATTACAGAACAGGTATAGATTTTACACATATATTCAAATAAAATAAAGATATAACCTCACATTTATAATAAGAGAACATAAAGTAATAATTTCGAATCATGAATCAACATGGCTAAAACAGTATTCAAACACACAAATACCTGAAATGTGGCATTAATGATATCGCTGTGAATTCAAATAGAATCAGTAAAAATACCGATTTGTCCAATCTATCCAAGCCAGGGCATATTTCAAGAAGTTAAACATACATCGTAGTTTGAGACGCAATTACGATTACTGATTAACTAAAGAATATCCATGACATATCGAGGAAAATTCACCAGTCGCTAACAAACGGTGTGTTCGAGAACAATACATTTATGAAATCTTTGGCATCCTTATGAATAAGGAAGACAATAGGGGAAACGGCATAAAATTTTCAAGATTTCAAGATTTTTAAGATTCATATATAGGTCTTCATTTTTACAGTTTTTACAGTTTTACAGTTTTACAGTCGTAATCTTTCTGGAAGAATCACGTCACATAAAAGTGACTGCGGACTCAACAAACGTTCTTGTGGACTGACTGAACATGTTATCTCCTCAGATCATGTTATGGATTATGAAAATACAAAAATTTTAGCAGTTGAAAATAATAAAGCCAAAAGGATATTTCTAGAAATGGTGTACAAAGTAAAAATAATAATAACTTGAACAAAAAATCAGAAATACAAAATTTAAGTCAAATTTACAATTATATTTTAACTTTTGATCAATGAAATCAAAAAAATAATTTCAATATAAAAAAAATTATATACCACTTACATCATTAATATCTCACTGTATTTGCAAATATCTTAAAAATCACATTTTCTCTGATACTGTGACAAAATTTCAACGTCAAATTTGCATTTGACTTTTCGGCTTTTCTATATTTGTATTTATATGCCGATTTATATTTTAAACTAACTTTGGTGAGTCTTTTTTTGTAGATATTCTTGATAAAGGAAAAAATACATTTCCGAAAGCTTGAATAGCAGAAAATAAACAGTTTTATTACCCTCAGTGTGAAGATAGATGCACCTAAGTAACTAAAGTACTTGTGCTGCGCTTTCCATCTACCACTCAGGGTATTCAATTATATGCAATTAACTGTCTTATATCTATACACACACATTTCGATTAATTAATTTACAGAATTAATGAACATTGGGAATGATGAAGAGCTTGCTGAACATCGTTTATGTTTAGCCGAATGAATCGAGAAGTTCGCTATTGAACATAATGAATGTTTTGATTGATTTTTTGAATGTATTGAGATTGGAATTGTTTCTTATGTTAACTGGCAGAAGATTGAATAATTTTGGACCGTGATAGAAAATATATCCCTGTGTGTGACTTTTATTAAATGTTGGTATGTTTATGGAATAACTAGTAACGAATCGAAGTTTGATCGAATATTGATTTGAAGAACGAAGTTTGTTTGTTTGTTGTTTGTTGATTGAAGTGTGAGTTTGTTTGTGTAGGCACCCAAGTTGAACATTGGTGGATATAGAGTTCTCTTGTTTTCAGTAACTGCGTTTCCTTATACAGACATTCGGTAGAGTATATTTTAGGTTTTTTGAATAATATTTTCAAGATTGTATTTTAAGATATTTGGAGGGTATCTTATAATTATTACAATCAGGCAGTAGCATAGTAAAGAATACATACTCGCATTAGCCAGTAGTTCACATTATAACATCTAGACAGGAAAAACATCGATAAAATAATAAAGGGTACTCAGATTCATTTTAGTAACTATAGTATCTGAAACATCATAATTGAACTTCAGTATGATCGTAGAGATAATCCAATGTAATTCCTAAATCTTCCAAACATCGGTCAAGAATATAATTATTATCTAGTCATATAATATTACGCGTCCGTAAAACGATCAAAAAAAAACAGTATTGTTTTTCAAAAACAAAGATTTAATGACATCTCAATACCTCGTTTATTGAATAAAAGAAAGATATATACTGCTAATGAAGAATCGGTTTGCAACATGAAATAAAAAAGCTGATATTTGTGGACGGAAACTTTGCATAATTTGTAAAGCATCAAGTAAAAAAATATATTATGCCTCTCACTTTTTTTAGAATAATGAAATACTTTTTTTTTCAGTTCCTCCTCATCAACTTTTGATATACGACAACTCTGGAAGAGACGTTTCAGGAGTTGTGGGACCACTTGAAGAAAAATCTGACTTAATACTCACTTGTGAAGTGAGAGGAGGTTAGTAAGCATCATTTCACGATTTTTTTTTTCATTTTTTAATGGTTACATAATTCAAACTGCCACAATCAAATTCTAACATCCCTTCATTTGTATATTTGGGACTCATGCGAAAATGGAAATGAACATTCGTAGAGAAGTTGCTTCTCTGAATAGAATAGTTTTCTACAAATGAATTTGGTTCATTCCTCCAAAACCATTGCACAGAAAACACTACTTTCTGCAGAACATTTACCTTCAGATTTCATGAACGCTTAAACCAATTTCAATTGTCGTAAGTCAATCACCTCTTCAGAGAGGTTTTGTTGTAAATGAGATGGACTCTTATTATTTAATCGTTTTAAACTTCTTTCAAACTTCTTCTTCATGTTCATCTTTGGTTTTGAAATGCCAACATCTTTCATTCCTATCACATCCAAATTCCATAAATCTGCAATGGAAAAGTCAGCAAAACCGGCAAATATAGTAGAATAAGTCGAACATTTCAATCGGAATTCGCATTTGGATTTATATTTTATCAGCTCGTCTCTGTAATATTCTACCTCATTGTACTCCTTTTCTAATTCAATATCATCGCTGACTTCTAATAACAATTTTTCTTTAACTCCTTCATCTGCCTCGAATAATCTGCCACTCTTATCCTCCAATTGTATCAGTAGAAATAATAAATCCTCTTTAGTTGAATCTTTCCGCTTCAAAGCTCCATCAAGCGCTTCAACGGATTTTTCTCAACTGCTGCCTATTTTTCTTCAAGATGGTGGGAGCGAATAGTCAGAATTATAAAGGAACTATTGCGTCGGAATTTGGGAAAATCATCGTTGAATTATGAAGAACTCATGACTGTTCTGTGTGACTGTGAAGCAAATATTAATGACCAACTCTCATATATATCTCAAGCAGAAAAGGGTAACTTCACTCAAAATTGGAGATATTGTACTCATTGGAAATGACAACAAAAAACGAGTAAACTGGCCATTGGGGAAAATTTTACAACTGTTTACAGGAAGAGATGGAATAGAAAGACTAGCACGAGTTAAAACAGAGGTGAATGTGGTGGAACAAGTAAAATATGTAACAACCTACCTCGTTTGACTGATTTATCCGTTATAGACTAAGTATTTGAAACATAAAAATATAATTTTGAGTGACACTAGAAACTTTGATGTTTCAAATGAAATACAATTATTATTAGGATCCGATTTTTTTGATCAGCTTTTGACAGGGGAAATCGGCTCCTGATAATAATTGTATTTCATTTGAAATATCAAAGTTTCTAGTATCACTCAAAATTATATTTTTGAAAGGATAAAATAACAAAAATCCATCCCATTTACAACAGTTTTGCCCGTTTTGATGTCATGTGTTTTTGTAGCACCCTATCTCAATAAATATTAATTCTACTGTGTCGTGGAACTTTGTTTGAGAACGGAACACTTGGACTACAGAAAAATACTCAAGGCGCTCTCATAGCGGTGCCTGTGCCAAAGTTGCGATTCACATTGGATTTGAATCGCTGGAGATTAAATCCGTTTGGAAAAACATTCTCAGAAAGTTTATTCCACATAAACGCAGTTCTCCGAATGGAAGAGTTCTTGAACCGTGAAGTTCCAAGTGTACTGAGTTGAACCTCAAAACGATACGCAGCCACAGTCTGTCGCTTATTTCTGATATGTACCGCTATTGGTGAAATCAAATGTACCAAGTCACTTGAACACCTCACGTGACAGTATCTATAAAAGAGGGACAAATCTCCAACCTCGCTTCGATGTTCCAGACTATCAAAGTTGCGAGTGATGTTCGTGTCATCATGAAGATAGCTGTTTTCTGGATGAAATGCAGCAGCTAGCAGGGTATGCTCAGCAGGGTATGCTCAGGGGCGGAGCTCCTTGGGGGCGTCCATAAATTACGTGGGGTGTTTAAGGGGGGAGGGGGTCGAGGATTCGAGGATTCTGGTGGAGACTGACACTTCACAAACAATGCTTGGGATGAGGTCAAATTTTGCTATAATAGGGAGAGTTACTGTCAATTGTTATATTTATCCAATTCGCCTTAACCATACCTTGGCACAGCTCGAGTTGCTAATTTTCAGATTGATACTTCACGAGATTCGTCAATATTACCTATACAAATGCACGTTTTTTACTCTCTTCAGTTCATACTACTCCAACACCTGTGTCTTAAATTACAATTCGTCTTAACCTTACCTTGGCACAACACAAGTTGATAATTTTCAGGTCAATACTTCACGTGATTTTACAATATTGTTTATCACATGCACGTTATTTAATCTTCTCACTTCACACTACTTCAACACCTGTCTTAAATCGATTACAATATCACGGCTCCCGGCCGTTCACACACACAGGCCCTACTTTTTAATATGGAACAGGTAGTTTGGAAAATTATTCAACCCACATGAGGCTGGCAATGACTGAATTTCATCTTTAATGCCTAGAGAGTATTGGGTCGAGCACGCAGAGTTATTTTATTTTTATTTTCAATACAGTGGATCGTGCGACATCTGAATGGTATATGAAATCTTGTGGATTTGGGGAAATCTGGCAACACTGTCTTATGGAGATTCCTATGTTGGGACAAAAATTTGCAAAACGGAGCTTGGCTTTTTTCTTCAAATTTACATTGTATTTCCCATAAGGCGGTGTTGCCATTTGCCCCATAATCTCTTAGCTACTCTACTTCAATTTCCAAAGGTATAAACACTCCAAACAAGACCATGGTTACTTGATGATAGTCAGCGTCTGATGTGATTCACTATTACTTTCTGCAACAGAGCCAAACAATCATGGCAGAGCCTTTTTGTGGGGAAACTGACGAAATGTACTGAAAATTGCGTCAGCAGCAGGCACTTGCCAACAGAAGAGGTCAGATCCGGCTTCAAGACAAAGTCCGTTCGCACGTTTCATGAAGCACCGTCCGAAAATTGAATGAATTGAGCGTCGAAGTTTTGCCTCACCCACCATACTCTCCAGACCTCATGACAATCGACTTCTATATTTTCGAGCACTCCCATAATGTTTTCACCGGTAGAACCTTCGCTAATCACGACCAGGCAGAAACAGTCTTCGTCGACTTTATCGAATACTGAGCGTTAAATTATTATGCTGATGGAATGAATCTATTCGTGTTACGCTGGCAAAAAACACTGATTCAAACAGTGCTCATTTTGATTGAATTGAATGAGTGTTTACTGAGATATTACAGTTTGAAGTAGAGTCATAAAAACGGACAGAACTTTTGGAAAAAAACAGCTTCATATTCTAGATTCTCCAGTCAAATAGTGATCTCTGTGCTATATGAAAATGAGTGGCAATTATTCATAAGCTCAAATGCCTATTCTTGGTATGCCACCCATTATATGAAATGAGTTGTTTTCAGTTGATAATGAGCAAGTTCGGTTCGTGGAATAAGAAGTAAGAGTATTCGTGGCTTCAACCCAATTTCACATCATCAAAGAAACTAATGTCTCACACACATTACTACGAGAAATTCATGCATGAGTTCCCAAGACGATTCTTTCTCTCCCAAATCCTCAATCGATGAAAGTTGGTCCTTAAAGCAAAGCCCTTCAGTTGGCCCAACGTAACAGTAGGCCAGGTTTCTCGAAAGAACGTACAATTCAAAATTAATTTCCAGAGTGAAACTGTCGCGTAATTAAAAGGGTTGTCGGCTTTCAGAAAGTGTCACGGTTGATTTAATTGAAGTCTGTGTCTTTCCCGTCAAGAGCAATGATTTGAAATAAGGGGGTAGATCACAAAGAGGTGTCTTTATGTTTTTAATAAGTGATGACCTTGCTTCCTCGGAAATATTTGGTCGGTCCTCAACAAAGGATAATATGAAACGTGTTAAAATCAAACTCCAGAATTTTTTTAATTAGCAGATTACTTGATTTTAATCGGTGTGTATGTCTGTATGTGTGTGTATATGTTCAGATAGGTTTCCGCGTCTGGAGTTTTGTATTCGACGTTTCGGCTCCCATTTTGGAGCCATTTTCAAGAAATCGATATGATTTGACACTGGGGCCTCAATCTGCTTACTGCCCAGGTCTCGTCATAGGTTCTCTCTAACGTCATAATCTGCTTTTTCCTTAGATTCGCCCCATTGTCATTGCTTTCGATTCTCCAACACAAAAACTTGCTAAACACCTTGAAATCACTCTCCAACCTCTTGCAGAACAGTCCTCGTCGTACGTAGGAAATTCATTTCACTTCATTGAATCCTCAAAAACCTCAATATCCAACAGACTGACATCCTTGTGATTTTCGACGTAGTGTGAACATTTTTGAAACACCAAATTTCCAGGCACCCTCAACCTCATCAGTCACTGTATGTCCAGCACACAGCCTCTCTCAAGGTATCTTCTACAAACAAGTGAAAGGTGCCCCAATGGGTTCTCCTCTTTCACCAGTCCTCGTGAACCTTTTCATGGAAGACTGCGCAACCAAGGCTATTGACACGTTCGACCACAAACCCTCTCACTGGTTCAGATACGTCGATGACGTTTTTGTAACATATGGCCCGATGGCTCCGAAACTCTTTACAATTTCTTTGATTACCTCAACGACCTCCACCCAAATATGAAATTCAAAATGGAAATTGAAACCAATAATTTCCATCCATTTTCAGATCCAATAAGGCCTTCACCCACACAGTCTACAGGAAACCAACACACACAAACAAATACCTCAATGCAGGCTCCCACCATCATCCAGCACAAACCAACTCCGTCTTGAATTATCTCATCCACAGATCTATCAACTTCGCAGACCGCCACAACAAAACAAAAGCTGGCTCAACTCAAATCAGCTCTCCTACGAAATGGATTCACAGACCTTCAAATTGACAGATCCATCCGTCGTCAACAAACCTTTCCGTCCAGTCCCAAAGATCCAAAAGACAACAACGTTCCTCACAAAGCTTTCCTTTTCTATATTGAAGGTGTAACTGACAAAATTGGTCGAGTTCTCAAAAAACAGGACATGAAGATGATATTCGCCGCCAACAATCAAATTTCCATATTTATCCGTTCCCCCAAAGGCAAGATTGTTAATGAATCCCAAGATATACAGTGTCACCATTGAAGTGCGCACCATATGGGAAACTTCTTTTTCAAAAAGTTTCAATGAAGTTTAACTTCAGCACTTGTTTGTGCTTCAAATTTAATTTGAAATGATGCGGCCAACTGCGACCCACTGACGTTCAGTGTTTGTCAAATTCAAATTTTTTTTGAAAAAAATTGAAAAAGTGCATTTCTAGATCGAATTTAACAAAAAGTTACTTGAAAAAGTTGTGTCTACGGCAATTTTATATCCATATGCC